ACACATACAAGCAAAAACCACTATCTCTGCTTGGCTGATCGTGGATCTTCTCCAAAATGGAGAGTTTATGATGCAAGGCGGTGAAAGCCGAAAGGAAGCTGCTGGGCAGAAGTCTCCATCATCATCCAAATCCAAGTCTCTTCGGATCGGCTCGTGGAACGTTAGGACCCTTTATGAGGCTGGAAAAACTGCACAAGTTCTCCAAGAAATGCACCGATACCAACTACACAAACTGGGAATCAGCGAGACCCACTTGATAGAAGTAGAAATAGGACTAAGAAAGTGGCGATGGATGGGACACACCTTAAGAAAGCCCAGCGGAAACATCACAAGACAGCCACTGCAGTGGAACCCACAAGGAGCACGAGGCAGGGGTAGGCCACGGGAAACATGGAGGAGATATATATATATATTTGAAGAGTTACAGGAGGCCAGAAAGCACTAACACAGGGAGGGTGGTGAGAGTGACAGGGAGTGTGTCGTCAGCAAGATCTATGTGAATATTTGATCGAGATTAAGAATGATGAAAGTATTGAACGTGGATTTTTTCCTGTTGTGAATAGATCTAGAGTCTAAAACTAGACTGCAGGTGAATCTAGATCGAGATCAAGAATCATGAAAGTATTCTTGAAAGTGGATTTTTCCTACTGTGAATAGATCTAGAAATCTAGGCCATCTGTAACGTCTGTCGGTTGTTAAAAATGGGAATTTCTAAACTTAGATCTATCTATGGGCCAAGGCTCCTTCTTTCAATTATTGGCCTATATCTTTATAGAGCTCTAGGCTAGATCTACAATCTAGATTAGGTTCTTCTTGGAAGCAACAATTGGCATGTAGCCTAACTCTTTTTTTAAAAAGGTGATTGAGCTGGAACTTTAGGAGAAAATGCCACGCCTTTGAAGAGGGAGAAGAAGTCTTACCCCTAGAGGTAGTCAAGAGGGGGTGCGACATGGATAAATTCAAGGTAAAATATTTGTGTTTTGTTTCTTTCCTGTTTTGAGTCGTTTTCCTCTTCTTAACTTTCCTAATAATTCTTCATTACTATTCCGTTCGTAGAACGGGTACTTTTATTACTAGTTAGTTATAATCACGAGAGAGAGAGAGAGAGAGAGAGAGAGAGAGAGAGAGAGAGAGAGAGAGAGCTCTTCACTTCCGTCTTCCACCACAGCAGGACATGTATCTAGAATCCATTTAAGGTCTTTTTCTGTATCTCAGAATCTGCAGTTGAAATCCCGTGCCGTCCATACATGTTTAAATAACTGATTTATAAATAAATGTCTATTTCTTGAGGGGGATTAATCAAAACCATTATTCATCTCAACACTCACCTATCAATGCCAAACATGGACCACGAACAAGACATTGGAGCAAAGAATTACAACATGTGAAATGCGATGTCTTGGAAAAGCAGTAAACAAGACCAGGCGAGACAAAATTAGAAACTCAGTTTTCAGAGAAATGGTGGGCACAAATGATGTCATGCAACACATCTAACACCAAAGAATCAAATGGTTCGGACATCTCATGCGATTACCAACACACCATCCAGCCCAAAGTGCCTGTATAAAAAATAAATTCAATGGCAACGAGGCTAGAGGGCGAACGAGAAAGACCTGGATAGATGGAGTCAGGGAAACACTAACAACTCATGCCTTCCCCCTGACCCAAGCTCTCTGGCTGGCGACAGAGAGACGTCTCTTTCTTCCCGCGACACTCACCAAAAGGGTATAAGCGGTGGATAAAAGTAAAGTATAGTAAGATTAATCAAAAACTCAAAACTCCAAGCCAAAATGTTATTGTTTATGTTCATGTTAATTAATTTTGAAACCGTTATGTGGAGTTGGATTGTGTTGAAAGCGGATGAAAAATCAGCAAAAAGTATCCTGCAGTAAATTCATTGAGCGTCTATGTATGTGTTTATAGACACTGTCTAAAACATGAGAATGACATCCTCTGCGCCCCTCGTGGCATGACAGGCAAATCTCATGTTATTCTCTATCATCTGTTGATTTCCTGTGTTCTTTCAGAATTCGTTTTTCTGATATCTCATGAGGACTGATGTTACAGCCGCAAGTCTTAGGTCATTAATATTTTGTACAGACTGGGTTTTTTTTAGGAAAAGAATGATTTTGGAGCATTTTAAGCGTTTTAACGCACTTGCAACACAATAATTAGGTCATAATAATATACGTATCGAAGATTACAGGTGTTGCAAAGGTGAAACAACGCGAAAAAGAAGGAGAAGACACGTATATATATTTATATATATATGTATATATATATAAATATATATATA